CCACCGGGCCGGCCCCGTAAGCTCACTTTTTAATCAATTACAAAATAACATCCTTGGGCTGGCCGGTTAGTTCAGCTTGTCAGAGCATGGTGCTGATAACACCAAGGTCCAGGGTTCAATCCCTGTACAGGCCAGCCACCAAAACAAAACAAAAACATCCATTTGTAAAAGGTCCTAGGCCCTAAATTCTGCTGTTTCTTAAGTAGCTCATCCCTTTTTCCGTGATGTTCGTGCCAAAACCAAAGGGCAGAGCAGATCAGCACTGCAGAGCCAGTGTGACTATTCAGATGTGTGTCAGAATTTCAAAGACAGAAACAACTCTTTTTTTTATGCAACTCAAAGTTAGAGAATTCCTGAGAAAGTTCCAAACAGCAGTATTCACGGTGACTGGAGGACATTGATGGGGCGGATAGATGTTCTCTGACTCCATCTATGATCCTGGACTCAGATGGAGGCGTTGGATACTCCAGATGGTCTCATCCTACTCTGTCTTAGGAGTGTGGAATTAACTGTACACCCCACGTCATACTTTAAAGAGAACGAGCTGGCTGAGTGGAACAGGGATGTGATATCTGCACACCAGAAATCCTTCAACATTCCAGAACATTCACAGTGAGAACAGGGGTGTTTCAGAGAAATGTGTAATGTCACCAGGGACAGACGGCATATGAAGGGGCTCCTTCTCGTTGATTTGTAAGTCTGGAAGGGGAAAAGATCTAAATTAAAAACAAGCTCTTCAATGACCACTGCAAAGGTAACACTCGTTTCCCTGGACAACCAATGTTTGAAAAAATTAAGACTCAGCAATTATTGAACAAGCTGAGTCCTTCAGACAGGAAGAAATAAACAATAAACTTTCGACCTCTCCATTTTTGCTGATTTTTATATTTCTTCTCAGGTAATTTTATTTTGTTCAGTACAGACAGTTTATAAAATTGATGCGGGTGGCTTACCTCCATCTAAGAGCAGTAGCCTGGTGGAAAGAAAAGCTCCTGCATGGATCCAGGCACTGCAGGGACAGTTCAGCCGGGGAGGGAGGCCCCCACACCCATGGCAGCGGGCTCAGGACACATTCACAGGGAGGAGGAAACTCAGACCTGCCTAGTTGGAAGGGGATTTGTGGGTGGGGGGCAGGCTATACCTCACCTGGAGCTGTAGGGACAGGGTTGAAGGGAAGTGGGAAGCAAGTTAGTGATGTCAGGCTGGACCTAAACACCCCCTCACCCCACCCCCACCTCCCTGTTGCTGGGACCTGATTCTGGTCCGGGTGTTGGCCACAGCCCCCCGGCCCCTTCCAGGGCTTTGGGACGGTGAACATGGAGAAGGCCCAGCAGCCAACAGACAGGAGCCTTCTCCACTCCTCAGCCAAAGGCCCGCAGGGGTCTGGGTGCGCTGGGGCTCCCTTCCTCGGGCAGTGGACGGCAGCCCCGGAGGTGCGGGGATGGGTCTCTCAGGAGGGCTGGGTGGAGACCAGCCTCGGGGCTTGCAGACGTGATGCTTCAGCCATGACAAAACTGGTTCTTGCTGAGGCCTCTCTGCTTGGCCTGTATACACCATCTTCTCCCACATCCTCACACGGTCGTCCCTCTGTGCATGTCTGTGTCCTAATCTCCTTACAAGGACACCAGTCATTTTGGATGAGGGCCCACCCACACGACCTCACTTTACGTTGATCACCTCTATAAAGACCGCATCTCCACATTCAGTCCCATCCTGAGAAACGGGGTTAGGAATTTTGGCCCCAGCTCTTCCCCCAAAGTTGGCTCTGCTGTGTGGCCCCATGCCCCGCAGGCTCCCCATCTGTCTCTTGGGCTCCCCTCTCCATGATTGAACTGCTGCTGAATGTTCCATAGTGGCCCCTACACCAGTGAGGGTGACCTGCGGGCAATGCGTGGCCACCCCTCCCCCATCTCACAGCCTTCCATTTGAGGTTGGGGGTGCATTCCCGTGAACGTGCACACACATGCATGCATGCAGCAGTTTCTGGCAATACTGGTTAGGGGACACAGGTATGCCCGTGAGTCCCTTCCCAGGACTCCCAGGTGCATATCTGGCCCCATGCCCGTTTTCCCCAGTCCAGCCTTTCTTCCTCCCAAACTCCAGAGCCATTGCTTACTCTTCCCACCAGACATGGCTCCTCGCAGGGAAAGATCTGACAAGCCAAGATGCTCAGAGATGTATTAATTTGTTGCACCAATGCGCATGGGGCACTGGTTCTGTGCCAGACACGGAGCTGAGGGATGGGGAGGTGGATGACGGGGGTCCCGAGAATCTTGCATCAGCCAGATCACTGCTGGGGACAGACACAAGAGCTGGCTACCTTTCAAGCACCCACAGTAGCCCAGACTAGGTGCTTCTCCTACATCTGCTGTCACCTTTATGTTGACCCCAAGATGTGCAAAAGTGTGCCCATTTTATTGAAGAGGAAACTGAGATTCACAGAGGTTAACTGGTAAAGCAAGGATTAGGAAGCCAGGTCTGTCTGCCCTAAAGCCTCACTCTCACCCTTAATTCATGGATCTGGGGAGGGAAGATCTCTGCTGGAAGATACTGCCTGGGCTCAGTGTCACTTGTCCCCTGTGCTGCAGCTACCAATGTGCTATCCTGTCTCCCTCACAGTGGTTGGTGACTTGGTTCCTGCATCCCCACGGTCTGATGAACGAACTGACACACACCGGGACTCAGCCTTCAGCCACACGGGCATGCCCTGTGGGCCCTCCCCCAAGCCAAGACACTGAGCCAGCCCTGCACAGAGACCCCGCAGGTCCCCACATTACAGAACCCATATCCGGCTGCCCATACCAAACAGAAACAAAACACGCCAAAGTCAAATGCTGGTGAAAAAGGAAGGCTTTATTTATTCGAGCCAGCCCTGCACAGAGACCCCGCAGGTCCCCACATTACAGAACCCATATCCGGCTGCCCACACCAAACAGAAACAAAACACGCCAAAGTCAAATGCTGGTGAAAAAGGAAGGCTTTATTTATTTGGGACCTGGAACCTGAGAGAGATGACAGGCTGCCCCACCTCCAAGGCTCAGATCTACCAAGGGGTTTGTAAGGAGTAAACAGTGGGTAGTGAAAGCAGGAGGGGACATGAGCTGCGGGGGCTCCGTGTAAGGGGCCAGGTGCAAGGTCTCACCACGGCTCCACCTGGCTTCTGTTCTCGTCCTTGATGGTATGTTAGGGTCCTGCGGGATTTCGATTTGTTTCGGGGTGGAATCATCAAAGCTTTATTGATGCCTTCCTTGGTTTCCCAGGGGCTGGAAACAGCTCTACACTTATGTAAATAATGTCATCCTGCCCGGTCACCGAGGTTCAAAATATCAAGTAACCATGGGAAAGGAGGGAACTCAGAGAAATGCATGCTAAGAAAAAAACCAAAAAACAAAAAACTGGTCTTTAAAAGTTTTTCTAAAGCTTGTGCAGGTTTAGGTCCCAGCAGGGCTTCAGTGCGGCTCACTGCAGCACCCACATCACAGCCTCCCCAACCCATGCTGTTAAGGAGCCACTTTTGAGGCTGGTAATGTCCTTTGGCTCCAGAATCCCTAGGGTTGGGGTCAGAGCTCAGGCAGCTTCCAGAAACAGAGCAGCACCACTTAACCTCTGCCCTTCTACCTTCCTGCCCAGGCAGGGGCAGGCCTGAGCCGCTGTTTGCAGGATGGCTTTAATCCTGCCTGTGGCGGAGCCTGTACCCACTGTGTTTACCTGCCTATGGCAGAGCCTGTCCGCGCTCTGTTTACCTGCCTGTGGCAGAGCCTGTCCACACTCTGTTTACCTGCCTATGGCGGAGCCTGACCCCACTCTGTTTACCTGCCTTCGCTGGGCCCCAAAGCCTCTTGTGTGCAACAGCTGCAGAGTCAGCCAGAGTTATCCCAGCACAAAGGTTGCTGGCCCTCTGGGCCCTACTGCCTGCTGCGTTGTCCCGGCAGGAGCCAGAGTCAGCCAAGGCCACTGACCACTGGAGCCACTGTAGGAGTCCACAGTATGGCCAGTCGGTCCAGCAGGGCTGAGTCCAGGCTGGGTGTGTGAGCAGGGTGTGGGAGGACAAAGTTAGACCAAGTCTGGGGCCACTGAGGAGACCACCCAGGACCCTCTCAAATTGGACCTGAGGCTCTGGGGAGGTGCTGGGATGTGGGCAGAGGTGCAGGAGAGGAAGGCCTGGGATGGACTCCAGCACCTTTACTTGGCTTCTTTGTGAGCTTGGGGAAGTAATCTCACCTCTCTGAGCCTCAGTTTCTGCTCCTGAAAATGGGAGTACTATTACCTATTTCACGGCCTGACTGCAAGGTCTAAATGAGGTGTGATATATAAAGGATGCCAGCACAGTGCCCTGAGTCTTGTCCCTAGGACCCCATGGCTGTGAGCTAGCAGCCAGGAGGACTGCTATAGGGTCTCCCAGACATGCCCCTTTCCTGCTGGAGAAGCCTGGTGGAAAAGCTGAAGGCCAGTCCCAAGTCCTTTCTGGGCCACCGGGGCCAGATCACTCAGCCCCGTTCCGGCTGTCCCACCTGGTGGAGTGCACTGTCCTGGAGCAAGGGCAGGAGCCCCTGGTCCTGTTTTCTCAGGCTCCACCCTTGATCATATCTATTCCCTTTTGCCTAAGAATGGGCAGAACTTATTTAAATCTGCTCATCCATGTGAGGGGTCACAGGACATGACAACAGGAAGCCCTACACATAGCCACAGGGCTTCAGAGCTTCTGGGTGTGTTTAATCTTCCCAGTGGCCCTGAGAGGTGACTATGGCAGAGAAGAGCTGAGCTCAGAGCTGTGGCCTCAGCCTCCAGTTCTGCTATAGTGGTAGCGGGGGCTGTGATGGGACAGCGGGACAGCGGTCAGGGCGGCCCGTGGCTGCTTATCTGCTCATACCTGGTTTTTTTCCTGGCACAGGTCCACAGGTACAAGGAGTTAAGTTTGAAAACTGGGCGAGGACCTATGGCTGCTGCCCAGAGATGCACTGTCAGCCCACATCCATGGAGGGGATCAGAGAGGTGTGTGTCAGCACAGCGCCCGTGATGGCCCGGTCCTGTAGACCACAGCCTGGCCCCAAAGAGGAGGCGGGGACCCCACCTGGGCTAAGATCCTGCCCCTAGCCAAGAACTTGATGAAGTCGGCTAACTCCAGGCCCCTGTCCCCTCTCTCCCCTGCTCTGGCTTCGCTCAGCAGCCACATTACAACATAGTGTGCCCATGTTAGTGTGCCCGCCACCTCCAATCTGTACAGCAACATGCCATTGATGGCCTGGCTTGCGTTTCCCGCTCAGATCTCTTCCCTGAGCTGCAGATTTCTCTCGCCGTATGACTCAAACACCTCACAAATATGGCCAGGACCACGTTTTTGATTTTTTTTGCCTTCAACCTATTCCACCTCATGTTCCCATCTCTGCACAGGGTCCCAGTTGCTTAAGTTAAAAGCCAGGAAGTGGGTCACGGTCCCTCCTTTACCCTTGTCTCATGTCAGCAACTTTGCCTTAGAGTTTCCAGAACCCATGGCCTTCTCTCCAGGGCCACTGTCACCCTCTTGCCCGGCCACCCTTTGTTCCTCATCCGCTGTGACGTGGGGGGCCCCTTCCTGGCGTCCCTGCTTCTGTTCTTTCCTCCCCCAAATGCACTTTCCACACTTGGCAGGAGTAACGTCCTTACATGTAAGCTGAACTGGGTTACGTCCCTGCTTCAAGCCCTTCAGAGGTGTCCTGTTGTTTGTGGGACAAAACCTTCACTCCTGACTCCCAGGCCGTGCCCCTTGGGGGCCTGTCACCTCCCTAAGGTGCCTCTCTCCCTGGCTCGCTACCCAGCCACGTGATTCTCCCTTCAGTTCACAGAGCAAACCTGGCTCCTTCCGGCCTCAGTGCCTTTGCCCTCTCTGTTCCCCTGCCTGGAATGCCCATCTCTCACTAGGTCCCTTCCAGGGTCAACTTCACCTCCTCAGAAGCATTCCCAGGCCACCGTATCTGAAGCATGTCTCCAAGTTTCTCTGTCCCAGCTCCTTGTTTATTGCCGTCACCATGTATTCATAATTTGCAACTGTTCTGTCAACTTGAACATTTTCTCGCCTTTGACATCCTCCCTCATAAGGACGTCCACCTGTGCTTGTGTCACTCTCTCTTGTATCCTCAGCACCAGAAGCACTGTGCCCAGCACTCAGGAAGCACCTAATAAATATCTGTTGGATGAATGAGTGAATGGGTAGACGAATGAATGAATGAACAGGACCCAACTTCTGTCTTTAAAAGGCGTGGGGTCTTGTACCGAAGACAGACATTCATGCAACTAACTTCCTAGGATGCAGGTGCTGTTTCACCAGCACTAGCAGTGTACAGAAGACGGTGGTAACCATTCTGAGTGTGAGTGGATGTGAAGAGAAAGCACGTGTGCATGTGCACAAGCGCGGGCATGGGTGACGCTGCGTGTGTGTGAGCGTGGGCACGGGTGACATGCACGAGCGTGGGCACAGGTGACGCGTGCATGTGCGCGAGCGTGGGCATGGGTGACGCTGCGTGTGTGTGAGCGTGGGCACGGGTGACATGCACGAGCGTGGGCACAGGTGACGCGTGCATGTGCGCGAGCGTGGGCATGGGTGACGCTGCGTGTGTGTGAGCGTGGGCACGGGTGACATGCACGAGCGTGGGCACGGGTGATACGTGCATGTGCGCGAGCGTGGGCACGGGTGAGTGCGTGTGTGATGGTGGCCAGAGGACAGCGGCACTAACAGTAACAGTCACCCCCGTCAGCACCGTGGCCTTCCTATCCATTCTCATCAATGTGAGGTGGTGATCACTAGCCCCATTTTACAGGGGAGCACACTGAGGCTCAGAGAGGCTTTGTAATTTTCCCATATCAGTAAGTGTCAGAGCCAGGATTCAAATCAGGTGTTGTCTGAGGTCAAAGCCACCAACTTCTCATGCAGTGAAAGCTCCCTGAAGGAAATTGGTCATTGAGCTGGCCCTGGAGGAAGAATGAGTTCATCCGGGTGCTGGGGAGGGCTCCATGAGTGAGGGGAGTGGGAGACCGTCTGGAAGGTTGTGGTGTGAAATGCAAGGCCAGTGTCCATGGTGCAGACATGACGGTGTTGGAGCATCATGCAATTATTTATTCATTCAGTAATCATCAGAGACTCCCTACTTGTGCTGGGCCTGGGGTAGGCACTGAAGATACAAAGTCAGATCCAGCCACTGTTCCTGGCCTCTGGGAATCTTCCTTCTAGGCTGGAGGCAGCTGGAGGTTGTAGGCCAAGGTCGGAAGCCCAAATCTTATCCTGCGGACACTGGACTCCTTAGAAGGGTGTGCGCTGGTGAAGAATGTGATTGGGTTGCCTTTAGCAAAGCCTCCAGCTGCAGGGGCCAGAACGAACCGGAGCCCTGGGACTTTGGGGGGTTCCTTGGTTCTCCATCCTGGCTCCCTTCCTGGCCCTTTTCTCTTGTTCTCTCTCATGGAGTGGCCAGCACAGCAGCCTGGAGCTAGGCTGGGCCCCCATGCACTCTGCATGCCTCTTGAGAAAAGCCTGAGTCATGCGTTGTCTCGGCTGGTGCTGGTTCTAGCCAGGCAGCAGAATAAGCGAGCGAAGGCAGTGGGTAGTGACCACTCACCCCAGACATCGCCAGCACTGAAGGCTTGATGATGCACACAGGCAAGATGAACTGGGTCCTCCAGGTCCTCAGAGCTGGACAGCCTTAGCCTTTAACCCAGACCCGGTCTAGAAACTCCTTAGCCCCTCCTTGAGCCCTCATCCTCTCCCTGCCCCAAGTTCCCAGAGTGACACCCCAATTCCTGGCCGGCCCCTGAACACCCTTCAGCTGAACCCTCCCTGGGTACTCAGGCCTCTTGTCAGGTCTGCCTAGCCCCTTGAGACCACAGAGATGATGTCCACCCCCCTCTCCTGCCAGAGGCTCCTCTCCACTTCTCTACAATAGGAGCCAAAAGTCAGCACCCCGACCCCCGCAAAAGGTAGACTCACAATGACCAATCCAGAAGGGCCCAAAGTGGCACTTAGCTAGTTTCACAGAGAGAGAAACTGAAGATCAGAGAGGGCAAGTGACTCACCTGAGGTCACACAGTGGATCAGAAACAGAGCTGGGCATGGACTCAGGATTGACGCTATCTCTGTGCTGGAATATTGTCCATGCAATCCAGCCAGCACCTGTGCATGCCCCCAGGTGCCTGCCAGCAATCAGGGTGCCAGACATTAGGACTCCTGTCCTCATCCACTGGGGCTAGCTCACCCAGCTAGGATTTTTATCAGATAACCTCCCCTCCCCCCAGCCCTCCTAGCAGAGGTTCTGGGTTCCTCTCTCCTATTTCTTTATTCGCTCAGGCTGATGGTCTCCAACCTTTAGAAAACCCTCCACCAAGACATCAGTCATGGCAGTAATTAACTCTGATTGCTAATTAGTGAGGATTGGGCTCCAGCAATTCATTTTACCAAGCTCTGTGCTCCGGGTCAATGAAATGAGCTCGTGCTCTGGAGCCAGACAGATGTGGATTCCCAACTCAGTTCCACCATCGATATTTGTGTGACCTTGGGCAGGTGACTTCAAGTCCCAGATCTCAGTCTCCTCCCTGCAAAATGGAAAGAATGTTCCTCCCTCCCATGGCTGCCATGGGGATCTCATGACATGGCCCCCTTGTCCACATGGCAGGCACCAAATAGATGTCATGTCTCCCCCCTTCCCCTTCCAGTGCTTAGGTCTTCCCAGGGTGAGAATAAGTGGAGAATTTGGACTCCCTCTAGCCCTACACAGAGGACTCTCACCTTCCCAGGTAGGGGTAGGAGGATAATGCATCGGGCTACAGCCTGACTCCTTCCAACCTGTGCTGGTCTCCTGCAGGTGGACAAGGAGAAGCAGGTTGCTGTGAAGGCCGGCATCCTCCTGGCTGACCTGCACCCACAGCTGGACAAGCATGGCCTGGCCCTGTCCAAGTAAGAGCCCCTCTGCCATTCTTGGGTGGGCCATGGCTGCTTGCCAACCCTTGCCCCAGCCTGGGCTGGACACTCAGAATCTGGCAGGAGCTTTCAAGGACACTTCCCAGGTGCACCCCTTCTCTGGGTCCCCTTTTTCCCCCTTGGGGTGCCTGTCTCCCCATCCCCCATGGAATAGAAAAAACAGGCCAGAGAGGGGCTGAGCATTAAATAAAAATCCTGAACAGGGGTGGGACAACCATGGACTAAGTCATTCTGAAAACTTGCAACAAATAACTCCAAGGATACAAACACAAGGATATGCAAAATAAGCACCCAGAGAAACAGGTGAGCACAGTGACTGAGCCGCATGGTCCCGTTGTACCTACCACAGCTTCCCTTGTGCCTCCGTCCACATCTGGGTCATTGCTCAGGGTTAATATCAGGGGATTTCCACCAAAACAGGAGCAATGCAGCCAAAGAAGTGAATCTCTAACTGTGGGATTTCAACCATTGGCACCAGGTGACAGGCGTTTTGGACATTGGGGTAGCAATCGCTTCACAGCTGGAAATCACACCCGTGGAAGCCTGTGGGGCCCTGAGCACTTTTCTTTCAGCCTTACAAAAAAGTAACCTGGATCACTCAACATGTTAACCAACTAGTTTTTTTTTTTTCCCCCTATTCTGTTTCCTTGTTCTCGTGCTGCCCACTGGGACTTCCCGTTCTATTTCATAGAACGAGGGCTGCCCAGATTCATGAATTGCAAATAGCATCCAGTTACATCTGTAACTCACTTTGTCTTTTGACAGCACTCAACCCAGGGGTCCCTCCTGCAGGGAGCCTGTTCTGATTCTCTCCCTCTCCCACCTCCCCTGCCTGCCGAGGCTGGATGCGGAGCTCCCTTGGGACCCACTGACAAGCATAACATGGTAGGATCGGTGTCAGCAGAGGGGACTTCCTTATTACACTGCCAACACTGTCCTGGGACTCTCTCTCTCCTGATTTCTCAGAGGGTCAGATAAACAACTTGGTCTTGGCCTGGTGACGTAGAACTTCAGCACCAGAGACCTCCATTCTGGTCTGGTCTGCGGAGCCTAGTGCAGGAGCTCAGTCCAAACCAGTGGCCTCCTATACATTCTATCTAACAGTCCCAAAAGATGACTGGGTATTACCAAAAAGAAGAGGGATGAGGAGGGGTTCCAGGCAGAGGGAACACATGAGCCAAAACCCAGGAGAGAGGAAGCGTGTAGGGTGTGCAGGTGCCTGTGAGCAGACAGTGGGACAGAGCCCATGATCAATGACAGCAGAAAGAGACGTGTTCTTAGTAATTACGGGCATTAGCATGTTGGTGTCCTGTGTAAGCTCTGTGTCTGTCCTCCCCTGGGGACTGTCCTTCACAAGTGGCTGCCTACACGAGGCCCATCTGCCTCTCCAGAGGGAATTGGGATGTCCCATCCTTTATGTCTTGAGGGCCTCCTGGGCCCGCAGCTCTGAGGATGCTGGGGGACTGTTGGAAGAGGATGGGAGCCACACAGCTGAGTCACGCATGCGCTGGACATGCTCTCTGACTTCACCATCACACCAACCCTGTGGGGGAGAATCAGGACCCCATTACAGATGAGGAGACAGAGGTCTGAGGCAAAGGTGTTACCCAAAGTCACGTGGTGGGGAGGCTCGCAGCACCTCGTGTGTCATGCACCAGATGGGGCCAGATGGAAGTGTTGCTTTGCCCCCCATGGATTTATCACCCCACACCCCCTGGGTGACAGAGATGCAAAGGTTACTCAAAGCCCATCTCTTCTGAGCAGTGAGAGACCCTGAAGTGGTTAATCTCCCACCAGAACCCTCAAGCGAGAGGCAGCCCTTCCTTGGGAAATTAACCCTGAATTGTGGTTCTCTTCCAGACCAGGAAGTTACAGGAAGAGAACAAAGGTGGGGTTATAGTTTAACAGTATAAGCTGGTAACTTTCAGTGAAACTAGCCAGATGACATTCCAGTAAGGCAATTAAGTGGTCTTATCAACACAAGCTTGATCTTAGCAAACATTCTTTCTCCATCCGGAAATTTTCCAGTATCTTTATATTTCAATCAGTAACTAGTCTGTCCTTGGGCCAGCAACCTTGCTGCGCCACAAATCTTTATCTTACAACAGAGGCTTTGTAGCCTGAGGAAAATTTCCAGTCCTCCACAAAGTCGATATTTGAAACTGCAAGGCTTTGGAAAACCAGGCCCTGTAAAGTACATTTGCTTTACAGTATATTCCACACAGAAGGGCCATTGCTAAGGGCAGGCAGCAGCACAGAGAAGACCCCAGCCCCAGAGCAGACAGACAGGTGCTCTTCTGCTTCACAATCGTCTTAGCTGGTGTTCAGGTTCCTTGACCCCTCAGGGCTGCAGAGTCCCCATCTAGAAAATGGGTCTGTAAAACAGGGGTATTTAGAGGAGCGGATGAGTTCAAGATGCCTCATGTAGTATGTGCTCAATAAACATTATCTCTCTTCATTTTCTTGGCTCTGTTAAGGTGTGGCTCCAGGACTCTGAAAAGGGGACCTGTCCCCTCCTCATCTCCACCCTGTTGAGGCCAAAGTCTTCCTTCCTTCCCGGTGGGTCTCTCTCCCGAGGAGCGGATGAGTTCAAGATGCCTCATGTAGTATGTGCTCAATAAACATTATCTCTCTTCATTTTCTTGGCTCTGTCAAGGTGTGGCTCCAGGACTCTGAAAAGGGGACCTGTCTCCTCCTCATCTCCACCCTGTTGAGGCCAAAGTCTTCCTTCCTTCCCGGTGGGTCTCTCTCCCCAGGTACCTTGCTTCATCTACTTTAACAAGGTTCTAAGCATATTTCCATATCACTCTTCAGTCTCTGTATTAGTCTGTTTCTGTTGCTTATAACAAAATATCTGAAACTGGGTGATTTGTAAGAAAACAGTTTCAGAGGCTGGGAAGTCCAAAGTCCAAGGGACACATCTGGTGAGGGTCTTCTTTGGTGGTGGCTTTATGGCAGTGCAGGGGTCTCACATGGTAGAAAGTTGTGGAGCAGAAAGAGACTCGCCTCTCACATGCTCCCCTTTTAAAGCCCTCAGAGCCATGCCTATGACCACCATTGTTAATCCATTCACTACAGCAGGGTCCTGCAACCTAATCACCCCTTCAAGGCTCCACCTTTCAGTGACCATAATAGGATTTCCCACTCTCTTAACAGTCACAATGGGGATTGAGCTTCTAATATATGGACTTTGGGGGACACAATTCAATCAACCCACAGCAGGTTCATGCACTTCCTGGAGATGGAAAGCTATGTGATGATTTGATGGACGGTCTTTGTTGGTATTTGGGTCATTCTCACTTGCACTGTTGTAAACAGCACTATGACTAACATCTTCATGTGTGCACCTTTCCGTGTGCCAGAGGAGCTCCCTAGGGCCCAGTCTCTGGGATCCTCCTCCAACATTCTGGTATTTTCAGAAGGGGCAATGTCACCAACTAACCCAACCGATGTGGATAACGAGACCTGAGAAGACAGGAAGGCAAGGGGTGGGTGGGGGAAGGTGAGAAAAGACTGGAGCTCCTTTCCTTCTCTTCCTGTTGTGCCGGCGTAGCTCAGGCCTCCTCTCCTCTCCATTAAGCTACGACTGGGATGTCTCAGAGAAGGCTCCTGAGGACTAGGGTTTTTTACCTCCTCACTCTCCACCCTCGACCCTGAGATCCAGACATGTCATTCTGATCCCTGCCCTACACGCCTCCTGCAGGGCACTGCTCTCCTTTAGGGGTCTGGCCCTAAGCACACAGAAGCTTCCCCTTCTTCCTTCTAGGGCCTGGGACACCAGGCTGAGGGACAGGGGCTCCACCCAGGAGGCCCCAGGAGCTTCGGAAGGTTTCTGAGCAGTGGAGGTGATGGGGCCTCCCCTCCTCCTCCTTCCCTTGCAGCTCAGGGACGTTCCCACCTGTTCAGACCTTTCTGGAATATTTATTTGTGCGACTTGAACCAGGTCAGTTCCACAGAGACTTTGCAGGCCTTGATGGGCTGGGTACAGAGGAGCATTAGCAGGAGCATCTTGGCCTTTGGTAGGCAGAGATGTCGGATGGAGGATGGAGGAAAGGGGTATTGTGGGCTGCAGAGACCCCGCAGCTGGGCAGGCAGGCCTCCTCTCAGACCTGCACTGTGTTCCCCCAGCACATCTGACAGGTCACTGAGATGAGGCAACTGAGGCCCAGAGAGGAGAAGGGCCAGCCAAGTAACATAGCGAGGTCATTGTAGACTGATTGGGGATGAGGACCCAGGTAGGAGATGAATAAACTCTTCTGCTCTGAGGGCCCTTGCACCTCAGTCCAGGTGGGCCTACCGTCCTAGGAAGCCTAACTCATCTCTTGTGTCCCTCTTGCTCCCTCCTGCTGAGCCAAGCCTGGGAGCAGTGTCAGAGGTGATGGCAGTTGGTGTCACTGAATCCAGAACACACAACATGGGGATCAGGCACAGCATCCCGGCCACCCAGGTGAGTCCACCTGCTTCCCTGTACTCCACTGACTTCCAGGGGGAGTGGAGGTTAGAGTGAGCTCCTCACCTGGCTCCTGGGAGATCAGGTGCTCAACGGCAAGGGTTGGCTTGGCTCTGGGTGGGCTTTGAGCCCAGCCCAGGTGTTCCCTCTGACACGACTCAACAGGTGGCCTCCAGCAATAGCATTTCCTTCTCTAAGCCCCCTCTGTCCAGACAGGCACAGTGGCACGGGAGCCGCATGCATGTCGATGCCCTAACAGCTACAAGTGCCCCCCCACCTCCGCCTCTCGGAAGCCTCAATGCCACCACGTGGGAAGAGGCAGGCAAGGCCAGGGGTGCCGTCCCTGTGGGGATGGGGCCATCCAGGTTAGCAAGTGGGTGGAGGGGCCGGGACAGGCGCCGGGGCTACCTTAGGCAGAGCCCAGTACAGGTGGGCCTGGGATCCCCACCTGAGCTGCACTGAAAACATTTCTTAAACTTCATGAGAGTCCAGTTTGGGGAACTGGTTAAGAGCACAGCTTTGGGAGTCGGACCTGGGTTTGGAACCTGGCTCTGCTAGTCACTGGGTATGTAGACTTAGGTAAGCTGTTTATCTTCCACGGAAATCTCTGTAAAATCTTCACCTAAAGTGAGGAGCATAACCTCAACTCATGAAGAGTAAAGGGGTCCGTGCATGTTACACGCGTGGCCAGCCACGCAACAGCCAGAGGGTGCCTGCGTCAGGGGCGGCCTTTGGAGGGGCTTCTCCAGGGACTAGGCTGGGCCGCAAGGGTGTCTGCACAGAGACTGGCTGCCCCATGTTGAGAGGGAGTGGGCCCCTGTGCCAGGGCCGCACCTGCAGCTTAGGCTGTGCTCTCTGTCGCCCACGCAGTCCCATCCATGCTGGGGTCACCACAGCATCGTGGCTGTATGCAGGGGATTAAGCTTTCAATCCAGCTCCACCATCGTAATCTGTGTGACATGGAGCGAGTCCCTTTACCTTTGCCTGCCTCAGTTTGCTCACCTGAAAGATGGGAATGATTATGATAGCAACGCATGTGAGGTGCAGGGAAGAATGTACACAGTTAGTGCTCAATAAATGTCTGTGATGGATTTTGCTTGTAAGATGAGGCCCTTTCCAGAGCCCACACTCTGTGCTGTTGTAGAAGCTTCAGCACTGCCAGGGGTTGGACCACGTGGATCACCTAAGTACCCTCCCAACTAGCCACCCAAGCGATGGCTCCACCTTCTGCAGCAGACACTGAGCGTGACTCCTGGGAGCCGGGTCCCATGTGCTCCAGGCTCAGAGACCCAAAGAAAATAGCCACAGAGCCATTTCTAAGGAATGCACTTTGTTTTTTTTATTTGTACTTTTAAACTCCATGATGGGACACCTAATTCACAGTGACTATCCCTTAAAACTCACTGTGTTTTCTCATCAGCATCGTATGCACACTCTTGCTACTTGGCCTTCTCCTGCTCCCTGTTTTCACTGCAAAAGCCTCAAATAACCAACAGGCCAGATGGGGGCTGCTGAAGGGTGAAGCCCAGGAAGGGGAAAGACAGGCCATTGTGTCCTTCATTTTTGACCCCGCCCCTAGTTAAGTGGCTTTGCAGCAAGGCATAGAGAGATTGTGCGCCCTGATTTGCAGGTACCTGGAGCCCTTTGTGGACATTGTCATTTTCTTCTTGAGGCTGGGTTCACAAAACAGTCCAGTGGTGACATGATAGCTGCCCTGCTCCTCAGTTGGGCCCAGTCCTAGTCCACTAACCAGGAATTATGTCAAGCTGGTTGCCTGGGATTTTTACAAAATGATCAGCAGAGTATGACAATAATTCTGAGAGGTCACATATCAAGATGCACACAAGATTCACAGGCCACTTCTCTTAGGAGGCTCAGCTGAGCAGGCCTGGGAACCAGTGGGACAAGCAGCTATTTTATTTTACACATTATACCGGTGGCAGCCAGCAAGGGGCGGGGGCTTGACATCTGTCGTGTCTACCGTGCAGCAGGCAGGCAGCTGCGTGCTCAGCATATTCTCCCATTAGATCTCACCACACCTCTGAGATATTATTACTATTATCCCAATTTCACAGACAGAAACAGAGAGGCTGAGGAACGTGCCCAAGGTCACACAGCTAGTAAATACAGTGCCCACCCTTTATTGTTTCCTGGATCCTGCTGGAGTGTTTCACAGGCCAGCTCTCATTCACTGCTCTGGATCTTACACAAAATTTAGTTTTTACAGGAATCATTCTGATGCCCTCACTCCCACAGATGGTCACCATGCCCCATTTCTGCCAGATCCTCCTCTCTGGTCTCTGTTCACTGTTAATCAGAATTAGTTCAGCTTTATCTGTTCTCTCACCCTGAGCACCAGCCACCAACCACACATGTCAAAAGCAATTTCCATCCAAATTAGCAGGTAGCGGCATGTGGAGAAGTTACTTAAGCAGCAATGAAAGAGGTTTCCTCTGGAATTGGGGCTGAGGGGGAGGACGCTGCATTAATCATCAGTTTCCAATGGAGCCTCCTAGTCTTTGCAGAAACCCAAAGGCTCCTGCTTGGGTGAGGCTGAGTAGGGGAATCAATTCCTCAGGGTAGTGGGTCCCTGAAAGAGGGGAAAGACCCAGCTTCCCTGACATGTTGCCCAGGAGGAGCAACAGGCAGAGACAGGCTGCGGGGCCCTGGCTCTGGACCACGTGTCGGGACAGCTGGGCCGGCCCAACCCCAGATGTGCACACACACAGTCTCCCTCCCTCTGCCCTCCCGAGCACCTTCACGGGGGGGGGGGGGGGG